GAGTAAGCAAGAGGCGGGCGATGGAGATGCACAGCCTGACCAGCAAGGTATTTGTGATCTACAGCTTGGGTGAGCATAGGCATATGAGGGCAGAGGTTAGGTCGGACCACTTCATGGACGAGTCAGGACATGGGCACTCTTTAGTATTAGCATTCCAATCTGGGACGCCATTCCGTCCAGAAACAGAACCTACGTTGCCATTTTGGAGAAGAAAAATAACATCAAAAGAGACATTCTTAATACTTTGTGCCTTAGGGTCATAGTAATACAGCAACAGTATGGTATACCTTTTCAGCAGAATGGGCCAAGGAATTAAGCAGTACAGGCCATAAAAAATCTGAGAAGGTGAATGAGGCGAACTGTTTGTTTCTGCAGAAAAACAACATAGTGGAGCGTGTCAAGCAAAATGTAAAAGAGTACAAGTACATAACAGAAGGAATGAATAGTTTGCTATTTCCTGAAACAAGTAGAAGTGAAAACACGAGATTTTCGCTGGAGCAAAATCTAAGAAGAATGAATTCAGATATTGACAACCGCAAGCTAAGGAAATATTCTCGTTACACCAAAGAAAAGAGCTATAGTAATTACACATACCCATTTGCATGTTCTGGCAGCTCTCATAAGTTTGATCAGTGATGATAAAATGAGGATATAATAGGCTCAAAGACGACTTTAATATCTGGCAACCTTAAAGATGCAAAATTGAATGCTTCCCTGAATCCACTTCACTTCAGGTTGGCTGCAAAAGAGAAACCATTTATCAAGATTCAAGAAACAGGCAAACAAAAATATCAAACCTCAACAATCAGTTTGGCAGCAAGATGCAGTTTTCTTGGCAAGAGAAAGAAGGCTTTAATCTTTTAATGTTTCAGGAGCAGGTAATATATTCTACGATAAAAATCTATTCTGTTCCTTGTGAATCAAGCAAATCAGGCCCTAGCTCAACCAAGCTCGGTCCACAAGAATTCACTGACAAAACAAAGCTCAAAACTCACTTATCTTTATAGAAAAGCCTCCATGATATATAACGAAACAATTCCTTATTTAACACTATCTTAAATTTCATTTCTTTATTCGACACTGAAAACCTTTTTCTTCCCTAACTAACAATGAATCCAAATTTTATGCCCTTCATGACACTTCCATCCATTTTGAGCCTAAATGACACCTGAAAAGACCCTTTTGCCCCTCATGTGGTATCTGTGTGGGGCAGGAGCGCGCACACACACACGTGCAGCACACCACACGCAGCAGCAGTAGCACATACACACATGCATGCAGCAGCACACACGTACGCAGCACACCGAGCAACACGCACGCAGCTGCACAAACGCACGCAGCAGCACACACACTTACACACGCAGTAGCACACACACACGCACAGCATCAGTAGCACACATGCGCGCGCACACAACCATACCACATGAGGGGCAAAAGGGTCTTTTCAGGTGTCATTTATGCTTAAAATGGACAGAAGTGTCATAAAAGGCATAAAATTTAGACTCGATGTTAGATGGAGAAGAAATCATTTGTCGATGTCAAATAGGGCATAAAATTTAAACACGATGTTAAATAAGGAATTCTCTCATACTCATGAGGGGCAAAAGGGTCTTTTCAGGTGTAATTTATGCTTAAAATAGACAGAAGTGTCATAAAAGGCATAAAATTTAGACTCGTTGTTAGATAGGGAAGAAATCATTTGTCGATGTCAAATAGGGCATAAAATTTAAACACGATGTTAAATAAGGAATTCTCTCAAGCTTAGTATGACTTTGTACTGAAGTTAGTACAAAGTTGAGACACTTATTTTGGGACGGAGGAAGTATATAAATACAAAATCCTCTTAATGGTCTTGTGTGTGGTTAGTGTCTTAGTGCATAGGTTATATCTCCCAATGGAAGAACTCAAATAAGCATAAGAAAGATGGTAAACATTATTAAGTGAAATATAATTGGTATTTAGTTGGTTCTACAAAATTTCTTATGGTTGAAAGTAAGGACTTCACTTAAGATGCTCTTGGCTTTTAGAGCATGGTTAGGTCAAATTTAAGTATCTATCTACTTTATTTATCCTTTGGGCTCAAGTGCATCCCCTTTATGCATTTTTTTTCTATAACACGTACATATAAAATAACATGTATTTTAGTACACAACACTCTCAAAGTTCCACAATATGTTCTCTAGACAATAGCCAATTTGCATTGATGGAATCACTAGTGCATTTATTAAGAGGTTATGCACACCTCTATGAGGAGTCGGTGTTCTAAAAGACAGTTGCTTATGCATTTTTTTTCTATAACACGTACAGATAAAATAACATGTATTTTAGTACACAACACTCTCAAAGTTCCACAATATGTTCTCTAGACAATAGCCAATTTGCATTGATGGAATCACCAGTGCATTTATTAAGAGGTTATGCACACCTCTATGAGGAGTCGGTGTTCTAAAAGACAGTTGCTTAGCCCTTCGCCAAACCCAAGGTCCCACCCCGCCACCTAAGGAGAGATGTACTGATAGTTACCAAGACCGTGGGTCAGGTCAAGGAAAAAGGTTGAGTAGCTAGAAAAGTGATCATGATCCGAATTAAGCCAGGCCAAACGACCCTAACTACCTGGCCACAAAACCAATTGCTAATAAGAATGCAATATCAATAATATATTCCCTCTGTTTCACTATCTCTAGCCATGGCCCTAACATTATTTGCTTTAAAGTACTTGTCAATCTACGGAATGAAGAGTGTAGTTATTGTAATGTTTCCACTCTACCTTTTCTGTACTAATTTTGAAAATGTCAAGTAGGTGTAGCATATCATTAAGGGTATGGCTATTTATCTCTCTTGCTCTCGCCTAGTTATTGTGCAAGTCTTTTTCCCAGCATCATGGCAAGAACATTGAACAAGGGTCGACCGCCAGACTTGCAAACTTGCGGAAAGATAATAGTGAAATGGGGCATTGTACGATGTCATACCATGTACCTAGTCTCAACTATGCGAAAATAACGGTCCGGTTGTGATGAAAATTCACCCAAACTATTAATGAATCCACTAAACTGCACAAGCCGACGCTTCATGATCCTGCAAGCTCACAAGGAAACGCAAGAACAACGAAAGAGGATCAACGGCTAAAAATAATTTGTCAAGCCTCATAGAGGTTGTTGGGCCCACTCTGGACCACCCAGGTCTTCGACAACTCTTCCTTTAAGGTCCTTGAAAGCAATTCTCAATCAAACCAAATGGCCATACTAGCATTTATGCCCTAGAGGAGCTCTTATGTGCACCAGAACATGCTCCAATTAACAACTAGATCAACAACAGCATTAAGTTCAACCCGTGTAGGTTGTTTATCTGATCGACACCGATTTCCACATACACGCACAACTACTTATAGCCGAAGTTACAATTTGGAATCACTTGGCTACAAGGCTACAAGCTCAGGTGGAAAACGGCTTTGTTTAGCTGGCTCAGGCCTTGGACTTATCTTGCTTCATACCTATTGTTGCCTTGCAGCTGAGGATATGACATTGAATGTTAACATTCGAGGTGTTAGGGTTGGGCAATTTGAACAATCGACTTGATTTCGTAGGCACATATCAATATGGTTGATCTAGCACGCGAGTCCATAAGAAGCCATTGTTGTGTTTTTCCTGTCCACCTACTAGTTGTTTCTCCGATAGCACAAATCGGCTACGGATCACACGCACAACTGTTAGGGTTGGGATATTTGGGCAATCGACTTGATCTCATAGGCAAATATCAATCTGGTTCATCTAACATACGAGTTCATGAGCCATTGTCATGTTCTTCCTATCCACCTACTAGTAGTAGTTCTTGATGAGGGTGAAGATATGTTCGGCGTATTTGTCTTCATGCACTTAATGAAGGTGAAGATGCGGTGATGCCCTTAGCCCCTAGTTATGTCGCCTTCCCCTTAGTATTTGTTCACGTGCAAATACAACCAAAGACGAGTAAAGCAGCCGCTATGCTCATGGATACCTCTCTCTCATGAACTACTCTCTTCCTACTACCCTTCCATTCTTCTACATTTTTGGCTCCTCCGAGCCCTAAGCCATGGTTCCAATGCTCATCAGACAACGATTGATCGTCACACTACTCGGATCATTTCATCACCTAACAACACTGACAAAGATGCATACAACACCCTACCAATTTGTGTCACCGAAATCTTCCTCTCTCTCTCTCTATACCTTGCATCTCAACTCGTCCATTCATTGTGCAACCCAATAGCATCCTAAAAATGATCTAGATTGCCAAAGGCCATTGATCCAAGAGGTGAAACATGGAACATGAGTATAAATATTCCACACTCATGGTACTTTAGTATATTGTGATAATGGTCCATGCTATGCAAAGCAGGGTTTTTACCAGTTGGTAGAGTAGATAAACGTATACTTTTGTCTATCATTCTAGTAGTTAGGACATTGCATGGCACTCCCCCCCCCCTCTTTTGTCATT